CCTTCAGGTAATGGCATTATTTTTTATCTTGTATTTACACCTCTGCTCTTTGCCAGTCTCTAATTTTTAAAAAACCCTCAAAAGCAATTTGTAATGATTTGTAAATGCCCTTGTTTGTGGGCAGTTTATCATAGATGATTCTTCTCAAGTAGGATGTTTCTGGGACGTCTGTCTGTAATACAGTGGTTTCTCCTTAGCCCCAAGGAATATGTTTCAAGACCCCCAGTGGATCCCTGAAACCATGGGAAATATCGAACCCTACATACATTCCTTTTGCCCCATAACTGAGCCCATATTATGCACTATGGCTGTAACGTTTGCTGTTTGAGTTGCAACAGCAAACGAGCACAAATTTCTTTTTCCTTCTTCTTACAGTAGATGTCGGCAACTGCAGCATATGATATTTTTTTTCTCTTTCCTTATGAAGTCCAGAACTTCCACCTTTTTACTTAGTACTTTACAGCTTCACTTTGGTATATCTGTATTGCCAGCATCACTGCTCTTTTACTTTGGGGCCATTATTAAGTAATATCAGGGTTACTTGAACCACAAGCACCGCAACACCACGACAGTTCATCTGATGGTAACCAAGACAGCTACTAAGTGACTTATGAGCGGATGGTGTATACTCCAGACAAAGGGATGATTCACATCCTAGGTGGGATGGCATGAGATTTTATCACACTATTCAGTATGGTGCTCAATATAAAACTTATGAATCGTTTATTTCTGAAATTTTCCATTTAATATTTTTGGACCTTGGGTGACTGTAGGTAACTGAAACTGCAGATGAGAGGGAGACTGCTGGTTGTTCAATGTAACTTTTCTGTGGAGCTACAAAATAGTTCTCTTTAGTTTCATCTTTGATTCTTTAAATTCCTGTGTAGGAAAAAAATATCACTGCTGTCACACAGAGAACTGTTTATTACTTTCTTCTTTCATCTGTTTTCTTTTTCGTGACATGCTTAGCAAGTTGCACACAGTGAAGAAAGGATTCAGACATACTTTTCCAATTTGACTTCCAAGTTCTTTGGCTTCCCATTGTTTAGGTGTTGAACTGTCAGTGATTTTGGTAATACATGTGGTCATATCTGTGTTTTATTTTTTAATATATACACATATATACACACATGTATTTGTAATACATACACATACACAAATAAATTCAGAATAATCAAAACGCAAAATCATGGGGTGACTAAATTGTCAGTTACTTTGAATTTAGATTTGAGTTGGACACTTATGACAAAACTAAGGGTTATTTTGGCTTCCTGGGACTAAATCTCCCCCTGCCCTTTTTTTTTTCTTAATGACATTGTAAAACCCTTTCAAAGCAGGGACTAAGTCTTTATAGCTGTTTGATATCCTAAGCAGTAGTGTTTATGGACTCAAGCCACAACTGAAGGAAAGGAATTTCTTCTTCTCTGAGATTGAAAAGACTTCAGTATATGATTGGTTCTTTCATGGGATCCAGCTAGAATATAACACATAACTATCAGTTTCATAAAAATTCAAAAAGGAAGTCACCGTGACTAGGATGACATAAAGGCATGTCATAGCTTTCTTCCTGCAGGGACTTACTATAATCCTACTGTGACCCCAAGCAGAGGGTTAAAATGCCTACTTTGGAACATATCCTTTTCCCATCATCTGAGCAGCTGCTGAATGTATCATCTTATAGACCACTTGGATAGATCTCACTCCATGAATGGCATTCATGTCACCTAGCCTCCAACAAAAATACGACTTCACATTGTATTTGGTGATTTTGCAGCAATTAATTCTTGGGTCATTCCATACAATATCTCTGAGGTTACATGGATACATTGTTGATAGTATACCCATTTTCCACTGGCAACAGATGTTAATATTAACTTGGTGGTGGTCACATACCTAGTTAATAGTATGTCCAGAATTTGACACCAGGAATTTTGTATTCTAATCATCATTCCTATTTATTAAGCACCTTCTTTATGCCTTGCACTGATTTAGGCATCATCTTTAATCATTACATGTTTCCTGACAGGTAGATCTTACTGTCACTCATTTTACATACATTGAAAATGAGGCCTGGAAAGGTGAAATGAATTGGTAAAATTCACATGTGTTGTAACAGAACGAGAATTCACACCAAATCTCTCAGTCTTCATACCTGTGCTTTTTCTGCTTTATTTGCTTGGAACATGAAGAAAACACTACTGATGTAGGTTTTGGGTGGTGAGACGAAAAGTATCAGTGTGTAAACCATTCTCTAGCAGGTGGATTTTGCCCACTATCAAAGCTTTTGGTTGGTAAGAGCACAGAATTCAGTGTTCTGCAGTTGGGCTGTTCTAACTTTTTTATTCTCCCAAGTGCTGAATGTTAAAACTCATCTCACTGCTAAGACCTCCTCAAGCCTTTGGCACCCTTGCTATAGAGCCAGGTGGTCTGAAGAAAGGCTCCCTCTAGGTTGTTGCACACTGTACACAGCACATTACAGTGTGAGACAACCATCAGTTCCTTCCTTTCCTTCTCCCCCACCCCTCCAGAAAGCTGAGCCCCAGATGGAAGAGCTGGAAATGTGTCAACTGTTCTCTGAAGGACATTGAGAAAATACTGCCAGGAAGAAAAGGCAAGCGCAATAGCTCATTAGTCCACTAATCAGACAGGACAACCATCAATTTCACAAAGAAAATGTCCTGAACAGGGAGATGGGAAGGGCTGGCAGAGTGTTGCCCGCATGGTTCTGAGAACTGCACATTTTTGTCAGTGGATTTGTAACTTGGAGGCATTGCTTTCTTTATTGACTTTATTTATTATATCCCTTTACAAAGTATGGCCACTGCAAACTGAAACAGAAAAATAGTATTTGGAGATACTTTTTTTTTTTATTATAAAGTATCTCATCAATGCACAAAGATGTTCCTTGTTGCCAGGATTGTGAACACTCTTCTATGTGTTGTCTTTATAGCTGCGTTCTCACAGAAAGAAAACAGAACTTAACATTCTCATTTGAGCCTTTGCTGCCCATTTTTTGCACTTTAATTTGAATTCAGTAGTTTTTGCAGAATGAATGTTGGGTACTTAAGTGAAAAGCTTAGAATTACTGTGAGGAACATAGCACAATTTAAAGGTGATTATGGTAGCCCTGGTCCTATTATTAACCAAGTATGTAAAGAGTTCTCTTTGATAGGGAAAAATAACTTCTTAGATATATTAGAATATTACTCGTTGGTATCAAGTCTGATTCCTGTTAGCTCGGATCTACCAAATTGTAACATCATGAAGTTTATCTAATTTATCTTAATGGAATTTTGTTGACATTTAGTGTTATCCAACAGCTGCCTATTATTAATTGTTCCCATGGATGAAGTAGCATCTACTTAATGTAGAATCAGCTCTACTTTTCATCTTTTTGAACAATATATAGCATGAGTGACATTTACATGCTTGAGGTCAGAGAGGTTGGCTCCACCTCTTTTTTCCTACTTGATGTAGTTGATATGTGTATGTGTATATATATGTGTGTGTGTGTGTGTGTGTGTGTGTGTGTGTGTGTGTGTGTGTGTATATATATAATCTGGTATGTCATTATTAATGGTGAGTTTTTTTGGTTTGTTTTTTTTAAGATGGAGGTTTGTTCTGTTGCCCAGGCTGGAGTGTAGTGGCACATCTCGCCTCACTGTGACCTCCGCCTCCCAGGTTCAGGCAGTTCTCCTGCCTCAGCCTCCCAAGTAACTGGGATTACAGGTGCCCACCACCACGCCTGGCTAATTTTTGTGTTTTTAGTAGAGACTGGGTTTCACCATGTTGGCCAGGCTGATCTCAAACTCCTGACCTTAGGTGATCCACCCACCACGGCCTCTGAAAGTGCTGGGATTACAGGCCCAGCCTATTAATGGTGATTTATATACAGCTGATTATGATTTTATTTTCATGTCATGCAGTTGAGGCCTAGGTCTAGATAGTTCCCATGTTAGTTTTTCCTCCTACTAATTTAATTCATTTATAAGGAGAAGTAAAAAAAAAAAAATTGCATTGAGGTAAGCTACATTTGTAACCTGGTTTCTTCTTTCTCAGCCACTATCTAGAGACTGCCAACTTTCAGTTCACGCCACCTCTTGACCCTGTTTCCTCATTTTAGTTGCCAGGGTTGAAGTAACAAAGTACCACAAACTGAGTGGCCTAAGACAATAGGAATTTATTCTCTCACAGTTCAGAAAGCCAGAAGCCAAAAATTGAGTTATCAGCAAGGTTGATTCCTTCCCAGGACTTCAGAGGACAAATGTGTCCCTTGCTCCCTCCTGGCTTGCTGGTTGCTGGCACTTCACAGCCTGTAGATGCATGACTCCAGTCCCTGCCTCTGTCACCACTTAGTGTGACTGTCCTCACACCGGCTTCCCTCTGTATATGTGTCTGTGTCTATGTATCATCTCTTTTTTTTTTTTTTTTT